ATGAGGTAGAAAACTTGCACCGGGGTAGTTGGGTTTTTTACCCTATAAATAGCATGCAATGGCAAGGCAATAAGCAAGCAAGAAAGAAAAAGCAAGAAGCAAAGAGTGCAGCACCAAAGTGAGCAAAAAGAGGGCTCCGGGGAAAGAAAAAAAAAGGGGTGAGAGCTAGCTATTAAAAGCTTAGGTGTGAGTGTGCTCCATAGAGAGAGTACATTGAATGATAAAATTGTGAGTTTATCAGGATTGTGATCATATCCTGGGAGAGTGGGAAACACCAAGAGAGAGAAAAATACTTGAGTGTATACTCTGTACAATTTTATCACATAGTGAAATACCCTTCGGAGTTTGTCCCGTGATTTTTTCTCTCAATAGTTTTTGGGAGTTTTTCCATGTAAAATTTGGTGTTATTTTGCTTGTTTATTTTCCCGCTTAAGTGGCTGGTTGAACCGCCCATTTTATTTATATTTCTTAAGTGGCAGGTTGAATCGCCCATTTTATTTTTGCTTGGTCGGCTAAGCCGCCTTTTTCACTAACCGTTAATATTGGTCGATTAAGCCGCCTATTTCACCGTTCTTTGTTATTGTTCACGTGTTTTATTCACATGAATTAATTTATTTCACTGTGCCATTTTTCCCAACAGTTTTGAGGGTCCGAAAAAAGAAAAAGAAAAAAAAAAAAAAAGAAAAAAGAAAAAAAAAGAACTGCATGTGTGTGTATGATCTTTTAATGAAAATCCATAAATATCTGGGCATACATACTGTCGAATTTACTCCACATTGATTGTACAGACCACAAATTTATCATAATACATCTGTAAAGGAAGACAGTGAGGTAGGGAGTAAATGCAACATCCTAGTAGGAAATTTTGGATTTCCTTCTGCTTTTGAGTCAGTACTACATCTGATTCATTCATGGAGGACTGTAAACTTCAGTAGAACAATGAAATTGACTAGGATTAGTCGCAGTTCCTTTTTCCAAATGCTCACCAAGCTTTTTTACTCAATTAAGTCATTGTAGTTGTCTTTCACATTAATGCTGGCTTCTCAAACTAGTATGTGTCATGAACTCATGCTAACCATCCGGGTTATTTCTATTTTTTTTTTTTTTTTTGGGGGGGGGGGGGGTGGGGCAGGAGGTAAATGGAAGATGTGCATTAGAAGCTAAAGAAATTACATCAGTGAGTTCTAGGAAATCCAAACCCCATTATGTCCAAAATACAGAAGAGCTTGACATTAAATATATGTTAGAAATGCATTTCAAACGTCAGGTTGATGACTGTTGGTCATGGTGCCAGAATCTATATATGAAGCTTGTGCCAGTCAAGTACTATCACAAGTTTGAAGTTAGTAATATACATAGTGCATAAAGAGGCATCAAAGATTAATGCAGAATTTTACTAAAAATGAAGCTGCACATAACCATGGTTCCATTAAATGTCAAGCACTTAATGCATAGCTTTCACCAACTATTGCATTAATGGAGAGCGTAATGGAAGAAGAAATATATGGCAAGTATGAAAATGTGCCAACAAACTTAAGTATTGCTTACCATATTTGCTGTGGAGACCAAAATTAGAGTTCTTACCAGCTTATAAAGACGCGTGGAGAAGATTTACAGGAAGTACATGAATGGTGAGTTAAAGCATCCTCAAAAATGGAGAGTTCTATATAGTAGGTCTAGATCATATCCACTCTCTTAGTTAGATTAGTGTGACGCAAACTTTCCATATTGCGAAACTGGTTAGACTACATAGCACCAGTTTTTAGGCTTCCATCTAACCTTTTTGTGCACATCCAGCCATCAAATTTCTGTCAAGATGGAGTCTATTACCCTTGAGGAGCTCCATACTTTTCATGCCATCGACCGTGATATATTCTCTCGATTGTTATTAACATTTCAGAGAGATATAGCTGAATCTCTACTAGTCATGGCAACGTGGTTGTGGCTAGAAGAGAAGGGTTATCCTAACATAATTGTGAAAATGGCAAGGCTACCAGATCCTCTGGTGGATGCACTAGCTGATGAGGCTGCCTTATGTTTGAGTGTCCTAGGATCCACCAACCCTTCCATCCCTCCTAATGGTGGCCTCCCCCTCCACACAAGAGTCATGGAGAAAAACATCACATTGCATTTTTTCCTCCTGAACAAGTTCACTGCAATAAGTGGGATAAAAAATTTTCTCAACACTATCTGTTCTCGGATTTTCACTGATATCTTGCAGCGCGTGCTGGGAAGCCCATCACAGGTGACTCCTAACAACGCTCTTAATGTTCCTGGTTTTCCTCACCCTTTGTTTGGTTCTGTGACCATTATGCCTAGGGCCATAAGCAATGATTTTCCAGCTGGAGGACTATGGGGTTGGCACCCTTCTAACAATATAACTGAGGATGATAGGACCATGTTCCTGACTTTCTCGCGGGGATTTCCAGTGACAGAAGATGAAGTGAAGGAGCTTTTCATCAGGATACATGGTGAATGTGTTGAAAGTGTCCATATGCAGGAAAATGTCCCCTCGAATGAACAACCGTTGTATGCTAGGTTGGTTCTGCTTTCTGTCACAAATGTCGATCAGATTCTCAGTGGAAGGCGCGTAGCAAAGTTTCGGATCAATGGCAAACACATCTGGGCGAGGAAGTATGAGCGCAGGGAATAAACTCCCCTTAACAAGCCAGATGCCAGTATTTTTCAGTTCTGCTATGTCATGTGTCCTTTGATAAGGAAAACTAAGACAAATATGGAGGTTTTAGCTTTGGTTTTACCTCATTCTTGATGGGGTTTGTTGTCATACACAGATCCATAAAACCATTCCAATTATGTATTGCTTTATGGACTTACAGATTTCTTTTCTCTAGTGTTATATTTCCCTATAATGTCTATGGTGGTTAATATGGTGGCTCTTGGAAGCCACTGAAAGCGCCGGCTTTCTGTTTCTGCAAATGGATGGCTAGCTGCTAAGATCATGTTCCTCCTGAGCCATTTCAGAAATATTAGATTCTTACCTTATGAATTCCAATTCAATGCTTGAACTTGAAAGATCTAAAAAATGTTCTTTTTTTACTTTTTCTATGTACATTGAGATAATGCCATTTTCCTTTTTTAATAATCATACTTTTATTATCTTCTTTTTTTTTGACATTTTTGTTATCAATTTATAACTCTAAGTCTATTTAAGGGAAACAATACACTAATTGTTATAAATTTATTAATTAACAATAAAATCTTACAACATATATTACATAATATAAACGTTGTCAATAAATCATTATCAAATTATTACACGTGGCACGTAATGTTAGTCAACTATAAGTAGATTTTGCAAGTTGATAAGGACTCGAATTGCATAAGAGAAAGCTAAGGGCTAAAAACTCACGATCATAAACAAGCCAAGGGTTCAACTTGTTCGTCTCATAGAAAAACAAAATTAAAGAACTGCGTTTGCCGGGAGTCGAACCCGGGTCTATTGCTTGGAAGGCAATTATCCTAACCGTTGGACTACAAACGCTTGTCATTTAAAACTATCTTAGAAAATTCATTAATCAAAACATTTACAAAGAGACGAATCGACAAGGAAGATATGGAGTTGTCCTGGCGAACGAAAGCCAGTAGTCTCAAGACACCAGAACAAAACGCAGGGAACATATCTGTTCTGTCTCTCATATCTTCTTCTTGTATGTCCCCATCAAGTTCAATCGTTAATCATGAAAAAGGTGATGCCTTTTTCTTCATGGGTTTCACTCCTTTTCTTTTTTTTTTTTTGGGGTTTTTGTGTTTCATTGTTAAACATCCCAAGTTCGATCCTTGTTGTTCTCACTTTCGCATTCCTTAACCTATCTTGCTTCATACCCTCCTCAATTTACCCTTGTTTTTCTTTGCAAATTTTATAGCTTTATGTTATTGGGTTGTTGTAGAAGAACCATGCAGTAGCTCCTGATACCATTTTAAAGTGCTCCTGAGCTCTTCTTGTTTTCTGGGAAAATGTAGGATTAAGAAAGACACCATTTTTATATGCCAGAACTAATTAAGCATTAAGTTTGACTGTAATTTAGGAGAATGTGCCTTGAGGGTTTTGTGCATAGAGAACCTTTGTTCGGTTTAATGGAATTGATTTGTCTTTCCTACTTCACTTTATTATGTTCCAAGGACAGTGGAAAGCCCGGAAGAAACAGCTGCTTTCTCCAATGTCAATTCTGATGCAGCTAATAGTACCATTGATGGCTTCCTGATTGCAACAAATCGCATCTGCCTACCCTGATATGATGAGTTCACCTGCCATGTAGTCTGCGAAGTCCAACCTGGAGATACATGGGTTCGCATGTGTATCATTTGTAGCCTGAGAAGAAATTATTGCATTTCAAATTGCAATAGTAGATCTTTTCTGTTGTTGTTCCGACTTCCGGGAGTGGGGATGTTGGGACTTACAGGGTAAGAAAAGGAGATAGTATGGAATGCTGCAACTTATCGTATCTGGATGGACAGGAACAAGAGAATTCACCAGAAAATTTTTTAGGACTTACAGTGCTATTGTCCATGAAGTTCAATTTGATGTCAGGTGCAAGATCTTAGGTTTTGCTCGGCCAAGGTCCTTCCATTTTCCCATTGCCATGCTTGTCAATGGGGGCTTGAGACAGTGGTGCAAGGCTAATTCGTAGAGTCGTTACGCATATCTGTATATTTTAACACAGTTTTGCTGGTACTCATTCTTTGTATTAAATTGTTCTTTTGGTTCCTTGATCTATATCTTCCCATCTGACTATAAATCCTAATTGCAAGGCATGTTCAAGATGGGCATGTGGCCACAAAGAGTGATGTTTATGAATTGGGTGTTGTCCTCATGGAACTACTTACTGGCCAACCACCACTGAGTAGAGATGCAAGTCTTGCAAATAATCAAACAGTCAACACCCATAACTGGTGGATAATGTCAGTTTGCATCACATTTCAGCTAAGCTTGTTGTCTGAACTGTGTATTCCTGTGTCATATGCATGGCAATTTCAAATCATTTTTCATTATCATTAATATTGTAGGAAAAGCATAGTAAATATTTTATGTTGGTTTTTTTTCAAACGACGAAATGGAGAGGAGTATAACACTTTAACTCGGAAATAATTTAATTGATATTCTGCTATTTATAGCAGAAACAACACAATATAAAATAGTTTTTCTCACCTAATATTTTACCTAATACAAGAAAATCTATCAAACATTTAAACCAAGATTACATTCAAAAGATTTGCAGCCATTTTGTGTAGCTCGATGTTGCTGTAACTCTGTAGCCACTTTGCAGCCTTTCATTTCATTTGCATTTGTATTCCTTTTGCATTTGCATTTCATTTACTGTTCATTACAGTTTCATTTCATCAACATTTGCAGCTTAGCTTGCTGCACATTTTTGCTGTCATTTGAAACGCTTCATTTCCATCATATTTGCAATTGCAACTAAATTGCTGCCATTTTTGCTCTCAATTTTCAGCCTCATTGCTGCCATTTCATGGCAGTTTTATTTCATCATTTTGCAGGTTTGACTGCCACATTTCTAATAATATTTCCAACATTATACCATTGATATTTTAGATATGTTAAGTTGCATTGAACTGTTTATTCACTGTGACTAAGTGGATATGTGCCAGATGTTATCAGCGTTGACGATGCAGACAATCCCATGAAGCATGACCGAACTGACAAAATGCATTGCTCCAAACCTCAACCCTCTACCTTAAAGACTCAGTCTTTCAGGTATGCCTCACTTTCTGTCCTCCAACTTCTCTGATACTGACCGTGGCACATCAGACCATTAAGTAATCTTATTTTTAGTACAATGTTCACGCATCAATTAGTGCATATATTGTTGTTGGTTTTTTTTTTTTTTTCTAAGTTTATCATTTGTGTAAACCCTCTTAAATTTTCCTGGAATCTTTGAGCTGGAAAATGGTGAATATAAATTGATAAGAAAGGAAAATGAAAATAGCTTTCAATGTCATTTTATTCTTGTATCTGTGAAAGGGTGTAGTTAAGGTTTTGAATTTGTTGGTTGTCCAAATCAGACAGCTTGGATATGCAAAACCAGAAACCAACCCTGTCTCTATTCTGCAGAAAATGCCAAGGGTGATGAAGTAATTGAGAAGACAGAAAGAAAAACAAGAAAGTAAACTTTCTAATTAATTCCTACAGCTGGGCAAGAAAATCATGAATGGGAGATTCAGAGTTACAGTAAAGTTGAAAATCAAAACGGCTGTGGGACAAAACAGAAACGGCATTGAAAATGAAAACAGAAACAATCTCCACTGCAATCTCAAGACACAAAATTGAGAATCAAATCTCATCTTTACCAAATTTGCTTATACAAAAAACAGAGAAAAAAAAAATAAAGGTTTTTCTAAGGGTTGTGGGACATAAAAATAAGGGTGGCTTATTTTTGTTTATACCAAAAATAAAGGGGCATTTAATGCACCTTTTCCCATTAATTTGCATGTAAAATTAAAAAAGTAAATTTTATTTTTAACATTAATATCACATGAAATGATTTAATTAAATGATTGATAAAATTAAAGTCAAATTTTATTTTTTTTATGTAAATTAATAATAAAAAATATAATAAATATACCCTTAAAGTAGAGGTTGGAAAAATTCAAAAAATAATAATGCATTTCCCCAAAGGGAAGACTCTTTTTAGTTTTTTGTTCCTTGTGTGTATTATGCATTTAGGTTTGTGATTTGATATTTCACTTAAATATATAAATTCTAAGAATAATCTCAAAGATATGGATGAACACCATTTTTAGGTAGCCAATCAATTCTTTTTGAAATCGGTCTTAATTGATGTAGAAGCTTGATAAATAAAGAAGCTGATGAAAAAAATAGGAGATTCTCAACTTAACAAGAAAAAATGGCATTTAAGCAAGTTAATTAGGCACTGTTACATTCCCTAATTTCCATGAGCTTAAAGGCCATTACCAATTACAAAATGCACATTCCCTCCCATGCTTCGTCTTTGAGGAACCCATACTTTCAGTCGTTTAACAGAATGGTTGGTTTTTCTTTCATATTCCTTTTGGTAACTCAAGATGGATGCAGGACTCATCAGTTCACAAAAACACAACCTAAAATGTTAAAAATAAAAATATATACTACTGTACATAAAATTATCTGTAAACATGATTAACATCCAAGTGACACTGTCATAGCCAATAAACAACCCAGTATATTGTCTTGCCAAATTGGAGATTGTCTCAGATTAAATGTAAGATTACAGTACTTATGGAGGTTGTAATCATCTTTTTCTCAACATGGATATAATATATGCAATTTGATCCTGAATATCACTCAATTGTAAATGAAAAAGTAGGTTGAGTGTTGTCCGCAGGAGAGACTGATTAAGGCCTTTAAAAGTCTCATGTTGTACAAAAAAAAATTTTTATAATAATTAATAAAATTAAAATTATCAAACATAAAAAATATTGAAAACTGTTTTACAGGATAAATTATATACAGTTTGTTTTGTAAAATAATTTTTTTAAAAAAATATTTTTTATTATATAATTTATCATCTAACATAAAAACAATATCCAAAACTTTTCACTCTAAAAGTTATATTAGTAAATAATGGTAGTATTTGATTTTAATTAATAAAAATATATGGGGTTTAATTTGGAGATGGAGATGAGTTCATGTGTACACAGAACCAGTCATATATATGAAATAAGTATATTCCTTGAATATTATATTGTCTTTACTCTCCATTCATTTTCTTCGGCTGGTAGAACCAGAAAGTCTTTTGAAATTTGTAAATATCATTTTCATGGTCCATCTTCAATATTATTTTCTCCATTAATTATGATGGACTATGTTCTTGTTGTCCTTAATACTCCATTTAAAGTTTAGATGACCAACTTAAATCAAAATAAGGGTTAAAGTCGGTAAGAATTTACTTTAGCTAAACTCTTGTTAA